CTTTGCTTTCTGGTATTTTGGTCTTAGTGTGCTCAGCGAAGTTCCAGTGTGAGGAGGACAGCACTTGCATAGAGTTCACCAAGGTCTGCGACCAGCACCTGGACTGCGTTAACGGGAGCGATGAGGAGAAGTGCAATGAAGGTAGGGAGGGGAGACTGCTGGATAGTGATTAAACCCCTTCCCCCCAGCAGCTAACAATGCATGCAGTGCAGTTGTAGCCATGTCAGTCCCAGGAGAGAGAGACAGTGGATAAGGTAACAGCTTTTACTGGAACAGCTTTTGCTGGTAAGCAGTTGGTCCAATCAAAGATGCTACTTCACCTGTCTTATCTCTCTAATAAGCTGTTGACAAAATTCCTCTGTTGAGCCCTAGATCAAGACACCTGCTAACACCAAAGCACAGCTAGTAATGTTCTTTCTTTTAGCCTACCAGCTGATGCAGGGGTATTACTGAAGAAATGCCCATCTAGGGATTCACCAAGGCAGTGGGTTGACATGTATTTTTTTATTTTGGCTGCCCCATGCTCTCCATTGAAACACTCCAACCCTCCCTCAGTTCTCCACTTTTCTCCCTCATCTGACTTCATCTTTCCAGGAGGCCCCTGTGGTTCTTTCGCTTACCAGTGTGCAGACAGGAGCTGTGTGAAGAAACCCAACCCTCAGTGTGACTTCACCCCTGACTGCAAGGACTCGTCTGATGAGAAGCACTGTGGTGAGGCGTGAGAAGGGAGGGTGCTCTCCTAAGCACTGCCAGAGGGGAGCTCCCAGTGGTGGAGTTAAGCAGGGTGCTGGCTGGGCGCTGCTGGGAGGAATTACGTTCCACCAGAGCCCAGGTTGGCACTGCTGGAGTCAGGGTCGCTGCTACTACTCTGAGGAAGCTCCCATTAAAGGAGCAACAACTGGCCTGGATCAGGCGCTGCTGTGAGGAGGTCTCAGAACTGGGGTCCCAGCTGGTGCTGACTGAGCTCAAGCATGTGGAAAAGGTCGTTTGGGGTTCACTGTGATAACAACAGGGTAAAGCCTCACACTATTCAGTTGCCTCAGCTTTGACCAGGGCCAGTCCTAACCAATTGGCGGCCCTGGGTGACCGCTCGGCTTGTTTAAAAAAATACCGGGGGGAGGATTTGGGAGGTCAGTTGCGGCCCACCCCTAAGACCAGCTCTGTCGGCGGCCCCTTGAAAATGGCGGTCCCAGGCGGCCACCCGGCTCACCCACCTCTAGGACCAGCTCTGGCTTTGACCCACTATAAAATGGCTCCAGCCAGTGCCAGGCAGGGTGTAAAATGGCAGACTGTAAAGCAAAGGGGAAGGGCAGACATGGTGTATGGTGGCTTCTCCTACACTTTCTGCCCTGAAAGATTTGTGATATCTTCCTCTCCTTAGACTGTGGATGGCAGGCTCCTTTGAACCGGATTGTGGGTGGCGTCAATTCTATAGAAGGGGAGTGGCCGTGGCAGGCTAGCCTGCAGGTCCGCGGGAGCCACGTTTGCGGTGGGACGCTGATCGCCAATCGTTGGGTGGTCTCGGCTGCTCACTGCTTCCAAGATGACAGGTAAATGGTGAGGGAAGAGCACCATAGAGGAGACCGAGTTGAGGCTGCTTTCAAATCAAAGCTGGTTGGGTCTCAGCCTAAGACAGCTTGGAGCTACATCACAGGGGAGCCACACAGTTCTGAATGCTTGATGGTAGTGGCTCAGAGCTGGAGCAAGGAGGTTCACCCTGCTGGAGATGTGTGTGTATTAAGGATGCAGTAGTGTAGCCAATTAACCAATTAATGGATAAGCTAAAGCTTATAGGTTAATGCTATAGACTACACGCTTTCCTTCCCCTTCTCCCCGCCAGTAATTTTTTTAGCAGGTTGGCCAGCAGCCTGTCTCATATGCACTCCCCCCACCATACATTTTTTAGCAGTCTGACCAGTAGCCTGGCTCAGTCCTAGCTTGCACCAGGTCCGAGACTTGCCTCCACTGTGGCGCTGCATTTAAAGCATATTAGGAGCCAGGCGAGCAGGCAGCCCAGCTCAGTTCCAGCTTGCACTGGGTCTGGGGGCTCACCCCTCTCTCCCCCGGACAGGAGCTGCTGCCACCCCGTGCTGCTGCCTCTCTATCAGGGGCAGCAGCATGGGGTGATAGGCAGTTGGTCTGCAAGGAGAGCTGTTTTTTAAACTGGCTCCCCTCACGGATCAGTTCCCGCCTGGCACCCCACACTGCTGCCTCTGATACAGAGGCAGCGGTGCGGAGGGGGAGGGGATACTTGGGAGCAGGGCCGAAGCGCACTGGCTGCCAGTGCCACCCCCCGGGACTATAGAATAGTCAAGTAATCAATGAGAATTCACGAGGTTAATTGACTATTCAATTAACCGATATTTAACATCCCTAGAGTGTATGAAGCCAGGACAGTGGTAACAGGGAGGTGCTGGGGTGCCCTGGGACGGCATAAAGGGGAGGGGAGGGAAGCTTGCATAGCTCTCATCTAACCTGTGCTTGGCTCTGGCCAGCATTAGCAGCCCCCTCACGGTCATGAGTCCTACAAACATACACAACTGGAATGTTTTCTCCTTCATGCATGAAAAGAGTAAATGGGGACGGACGTGGGGAAGCCCAGCGTAGCTTTATGTGATGAGAGCATTGGTGGACCTCAAGCATTGGTCCCTCACCCAATAGGCATTAGGCCACTGATGAATTACCACTCTGTGGGATTCTTATCATTTAAAGTGGGCTTCAAGCTTTGTCACTCATGTCACAGCCCCCTAGTGGTACTGCTACTCCTAAGAATAATTGTATATTGGTTGCAGCCAAAGACCTTAGTTAAAATAGGAGCCCCATTGTACTAGGAACTTGGGCAAGCACTGAAGAGAGACATTCACAGCCATGGGGAGCGTACCCTCTAGAAACACAGACAACGGGTAGAGAAAATGTCTGCAACAGCACAGCAAGGCTATGTCTAGGCTGGCAAGTTTTTCCACAAAAGCAGCTGCTTTTGCAGAAAAACTTGCCAGCTGTCTACACTGGCCGCTTGAATTTCCGCAAGAACACTGACTTCCTACTGTCTGAAACCAGTGCTTCTTGCAGAAATACTATGCTGCTCCCGTTCAGGCAAAAGTCCTTTTGCGCAAAGCTTTTGCGCAAAAGGGCCAGTGTAGACAGCTCAGATTTGTTTTGTGCGAAAGTGGTGACTGAGGCTTTTTTGCACAAAAGTGCGTCTAGATTGGCACGGACGCTTTTCCACAAAAAGTGCTTTTGCAGAAAAGCGTCCGTGCCAATCTAGATGCTCTTTTCCACAAATGCTTTTAACAGGAAACTTTTCCGTTAAAAGCATTTGCAGGAAATCATGCCAGTCTAAACATAGCCCAAATAAATAGGGTTTAGAGATAGTGCTGCTTTGCTAGTTATGTGTTATATAGACTGGGGTTTATTTTTACTACCTTTATTATTTTATACTGGGATTTTATACTGGGGTAGGAAGAAGAAAAGGAGAGAAGGGAAAAAGAAATAGTCACAGTTGGGCATGTGCCCTGCCAGGACCAGCAGGCTGGGGTTCAGAAGCATGATGACAAAGATGAATCGTAGGCTATGTCTAGACTGCAGAGTTTTTGTGCAAAAATGAATGGTTTTGAGCAAAAATTCGCAGAGTGTCCACACCTCAAGTGCATTTTTTGTGTAAGTAAATCGACAGAACGGAGAGGTTCTTGTGCAAGAGTTATTCCACTTTCTACGAGGAATAACTCCTTTTTGAGCAAGAGCTCTTGCGCAAAAAGGTGTGTGTAGGGTTGCCAAGTGTCCAGTACTTTCTGATTTTTTTTCCCAGCCAGTAGGCGAAAATCCCAGGCTGTCCAGCTCAATACGGAGGCAGCCTGGCAACCCTAGGGCTTACTAGGTTCCACAGGGAGCTGGCCAGCCCCGCAGTGAGGCAAGATGGCGAGCAGCCACTGGCAGCCTGTTAGGGCCAAAAAGCCTCACCACATGTTTCTTAAAGGGGCCACACTCTTTTTGTCTTGTTTTGTTTTTGCTTATCAACTCTCAGGGTCCTTTTTTTGGGGGGGGGTCGGTATTTTTTTCTGAAACCATCTGGCAACCCTAGGTGTGTGTGGATTGGGAACTGCCCCCTTTTGTGCAAAAAACCCCTATCGAAAAAAGGACAGGTGCCCTGGTGGCTATTCTGTGAATAGCTATCAGCGCTTTCGAGAGAGCATCCTTTATCCAACCTTTGTAGCTCTGATTTTTCAGCCCTCTCCTCATTTCCCTCACTCTCCTTCATTTCACCTAATTTTTCACTCTTCCTTTCCATGCCATACTCCTTACCTGTCTTTCAAACACAGATACACTTTTTCTCCCCTTGTCCCCAGCGGATTGGCTTCCCCATTCATCTGGACTGTCTACCTGGGCAAGTACTTCCAAAACATCACGAGCCAGAATGAGGCGTCCTTCAAGGTGAGCCGTATCCTCCTGCACCCGTACTACGAGGAGGACAGTCATGACTACGACGTGGCCTTGCTCCAGCTTGACCACCCAGTTATAAACTCATCCTTCATTCAGCCCATCTGCTTGCCCGCCCACTCCCACCTCTTTGAACCTGGCCTCCGTTGCTGGATCACCGGATGGGGGGCTCTCAAGGAAGGAGGTACATGCTGCTCTTGTCAGGATCCTGCAGCTATTTATTTTCCTCAGGAGCTACATAAAGGGGAATTTTTAAAAAGCACAAAAGGCAGATAGATGCCGACAGCCACGGCAGGCCTCAGTGCCAGCTGGAGCGTGGCATTCCCCTCCATCTCCAGCTCTCAGAGCCCCACGGAGCAGTGCTCTGGCAGCAATTCAAAGGGTCCTGGAGCTCTGCCTACCACCACCACAGCAACAGTGGCTGGAGTCCAAGGCCCCTTTGATTTGAATCACCAGGCCTCACAGCAACTGTCCCCTTTATATCATCACCACCACCACCCCTGCTGTCAGCAGCCCTGCACCCAGCTCTCATGGAAAGTTGGACTAATTACTCTTTGTGCCTTTGGAAATCTTCTTCCAAAGGGTATGTCTAGACTACATCCCTCTGTCGCCAGAGGGATGTAAATTAGACATATCGAAATTGCTAATGAAGCAGGGATTTAAATATCCCACGCTTCATTAGAATAAAAATGGCTGCCGCTCTTTGCCGCCCCGACACTTTGCCGGCAAAAAATAGCAGTCTAGATGGGGATTGGTCGACAAGGAAAGCCTTTTCCGACCGATCCCTTATGCCTCATGCAACGAGGTTTACAGGATTGGTCAGAAAAGGCTTTCATTGTCGACCGATCCCCGTCTAGACTGCCGCTTTTTGCCAGCAAAGTGTCGCGTCGGCAAAAAGCAGCAGCCATTTTCATTCTAATGAAGTGTGGGATATTTAAATCCCCGCTTCATTAGCAATTTCGATATGTCTAATTTACATCCCTCTGCTGACAGAGGGATGTAATCTAGACATACCCAAATAGATACATTGTGTTGTGATGCTAGGAGGCTCACACCACCACTTCAGTAAGGGATAATGGGCTTAGCCAAGATCTGATGCAGGGTCCCCCCAAGAAAAGTTGGATTATGTTCCATTTCCAAGCTTTGATTTGCCAACGCCCTTTACCTTACTGCAGTGGTTCTCAAACTGCAGTAGCAGTGACCTCTTTCACATAGCAAGCTTCTGCACATGACCCCTACTCCTGCCTTATAAATTAAAACCACATTTTTATATTTAACACTATTATAAATGCTGGAGGTGAAGCGGAGTTTGGAGGTGGAAGCTGACAGCTCGCAACACCCCCTGTGCAATAACTTCACAAACCCGTCTGAGAATCCCTGTCTTAATGCATCTGCAACCTACAATACATCAGCTTTGCCACAAGATGCCCTCCTGCTCCTCCTAGTGGACAATCACACTGCATCATGCAGAATTATCACATACTGATGCAGTGTCACAGCATAAAGACGTAATCCCACTAGTCCCCAAAAAGAGGAGAGATTTTAGCTGTCTCACCTTATAGGACCTAGTTCAAAACAGTATGAGTCACCCTGGGAGGACTGGAATGGGAAGGTGCACTGCTCTTGGACAGTTCTCAGCTGGAAACGTTGGGTCTGAAGTCTTAGAGAAGGGTCTTCATCAGTGAGTGAAAGGAGCATGAAGGATTTTTGTAACTATCATTCTGTGCGGACAGCGCACACACACACACACACACACACACACACACACACACACACACAGAGTCTTCTTCTGAAGGGAGTAGTAGAACGCTGACAACTTTCCTATAGTGGCTGGTGACCCGGACTGTCAAAAAGAGCTGAAATTAAAAAAAAAAAAAAAAAATCAGGCCCCTTGAAGCTGTTGAGCATCCCAAATAAGAAGGCATGAAAAGCATGTGTTACTTTTTAAAATGTAGCGCCCCTGCCCCCCCTCCCCCCCCCACACACAGGTCATTTCAAACTACCCAGGGAAAAGCACTAGTAAAATTATAGTAAAGAAGAATCCTGCCCTGGCAGGGAGATGGGCTAGATGACCTACAGTGAGAAATCAAATAGCTATAATTCTCCAAGGATCCAAATACTAAGTAGTTGTAGGCTGGAACAACTCCTTTAGAAACAGGGAGCTCAGGGTATGTCTACACTATAGAGTTTTGTTGGAAAAACCACTGTTTTTCCAACAAAACCTGAGTTAACGTCCACACTGTAATCGCGTTCTTCTGAAAATAAATGGAAAGAACAGAGGGGTTTTTTCCGGCATTGGTAATCCTCTTTCTACGAGGAAGAAGCCTTTTTGTGAAAGAGCTCTTGGACACGGAAGATGGAGTTCTTTCACAAAAAGAGGAAAGAGGAAAAAGCACAGGTGCCCTGGTGGCCATTCCTCCCATAGTAATCACAGCTTACACGCGAGAGAGCATCCATTCAGTGTGGATGCTGTCTTTCAAAAAAGCAGATGGCTTTTTCGATGTGCTTTTGTGTGTAGACACTCTCTTTCAGAAGAAGTTTTTTTGGAAGATCTCTTCTGAAAAAAGGTTCTTCCGAAAGAAGCCTGCAGTCTAGAAATAGCCTCACTTATTTCAGATTTCCGTTTCAGTTCCCTGCCAATGAGCAAATTACTGTTTAATTCAGACAGGTGAGTATGAAATGCCAGGAAAGAATTCCCCTGGCAATGGGAGGGCACTATTGGCACAAAGATCAATGTGGGGCAGCTTTGTGAAAGGAGTGGGCAAGGAGGAGTAGACACTTTCTGGACAGACAAAATGTCTGAAGCTGTGGACTCAGAACACAGGGAGAAGCCTGGAACACAAGGGGTGGCATAAGAGAAGGGGTGGAGCAGAGGTCAAGACAAGGAGACAGAGCACAGTCATGAGAGACATCGAGAAGAGCGGAGCTGGCTGAAGGGATGACACAGGGCCCAGATATATCCCTGCATTTGTGCAGGACAGGCACCATCACACCGATAGAGAGGCTGCAGCTTGCACTTCCTTCAATCAGCAGCTGCATGAGCCAGCACAACCCTTCAGGGCTATCCCAACGTGTGCCTCTGGTGAGGTGGTCATTACAACCCGCTACACTCACACAGTATTGCCTATGTAAAATTCCAGCCCACCATGTGTCTCCTGTTCCCCTCATGGAGCTGATTGGAACATTCATGGAGACTTATCCTTTGCATAAAGTTTTCATCAGAGAGATGCTGCCTAATTCAAAGGGGGCAGGTTTTCATCCAGGATCTGAGTCAGACAGACCAGGGACCTGAACCTAAGTCTCCCCCATCCCTAGCTAATCACCAGTCTATGTACCCACACTACTGCCTGAATTTAGATCCTGGATTGGATCTAAACCCAGACAGCACAGCACAATTCTGTTTTTGTGGGGATGTTCAAAAGGCCGTGTTTTCAGTGCAGTGTAGTACAAAAAAACCCATGTTTTGAAAGCACAAAAGTTGCCGTAAAACAGAACTGTCATCCTCCAGACATCTCTATCTGTCCCCCGCGCTGGGTCAAAGAGGCTGCATGGTATTTCTGAATAGGGCCCAATTATGCAGGGCCTTGTGGCTGAGGCAAGAACCATGAACTGAAACAATAAAAGATATGAATCCAGAGTCAGGATTAGGGGAAGGAGTAAGATGTGATATAAGTGGAGGATAAGATGGTGATCAAACTGTAGCACTTTCGAAGAACTAGAGACCGAGAGCCAGGAGATGTGGCCATAGTTTGGGGATTAAAGAAGAGGCAGGGAATTCTGTTGTTACTCACCTGCTGTTCTTGTGTTCTGTATCCAGGGCACACAAGTAACATCCTGCAGAAGGCGGATGTGCAGCTGATCCAGCAGGACATCTGCAGCAAGGCCTATCACTACCAGATCTCTCCCAGAATGCTCTGTGCTGGCTATCACAAGGGCAAGAAGGACGCCTGCCAGGTGACAGAGGAGATGTGGGAACTCCAACCTTAGATGGGGGGGGTTAATTTGGCAATGGATTAGTAGGGGTCTTTGTCCCCTGAACATGTGCTGTAGCTTTGGTAAGGAGTATATTGATTCCAAGAGGTTAGACGAAAGACCCTCTTTCTGCAACTGGAGGTTACCACATCTTGCCCACGTTTATCCTCTGGGGCAGATGCAGAAACTTTTCTTCTTGGTTTCTCAGGATTACATTCAGTCGCCCATGAGCTCCCCATAGCGATAGGACATTGGTGGAGCCACAAATGGCTCCAGAGGGAATATTATCCATTTCCTCCCATAGGTCTTCTCCATAGTCAGGAATGCTGATGACCATAATGCAAGTTGAATTTTCCCTTTTCCGAGTTCAGGCCAGTACATCCTCTCAGCCACTGTTCTACTTCCAAGCAACTTTCCATCTTCCAGAAGACTGTTCCCCATACTCCCTTCTAGAGGGCTCTCCAAATTGAGACCTCATCATGTGTTGATTGCTGTTGCCTTCTCTGCCTGCTCCTACATTACCCTTCATCCTCAGACAATTCCACTGGCACCCCATTCATTTTAGGATCCAGTTAAAATCTGCAATCATCAAAGCCCTTCTTAGACTTGCTCCACCCCGTCTCCTCCTGAGGACCGCCCATTGACTAGAAGAATAAGCAAGAGGCTTATTGAGGAAGGAGACACACATAATTAAGGATCTGCTAGTGGCTGATACCTTTCCTTAGGAGACTTGGGGTTCTGATTCTATCCTACACACCCAGTGGCCCAAGATACATAGCTCTTTTGGGGGTATTACTGAGGCCTTGGGCAGTGGGATAGAGGGGTTAGATTGTAGCCTAAAGAGGAGAGGAAGTAGGTGGCATGTGTTCATATAGCTCGTGGGAGATCTTCAGCATGCTCCATCCCCATCACTTTAATGTCCTGATGGTTTTGTTTCCTTCCTCTTCTAGGGTGATTCCGGAGGTCCCCTTGTCTGCAAGGAGCCCAGTGGCAGGTGGTTCTTGGCTGGCCTGGTGAGCTGGGGGCTGGGGTGCGCACGTCCAGATTATTACGGGGTCTACACCAGGATCACTAGCGTGATAGGCTGGATGAAACAGACAATGAGCTGAGGAATGTCCACCCGTGCCTTCCCCAGGCACAGGCTGAGCTGTTTACCTGCTCCTGACACTGATCACTTGTCTCCATCACATTGGGAACGACAGAGACTATGTTTTGTTTGCAAGTGTCATGCCTGAGGAGCCTAAAGCCTTTGGAACGGGGTGAAAGCAAATCTGCCCTGGGGGTATGTACCAGTGGGAAGCTCCTCCACCCTCTCCAAGAAATGCCAAGTCTTACATTAAGGCCAAGCCCACAAAGGTCTTTGGTGCATCAGAGAGAGAGAGTGGATGGAAAGCCAGGGATCTTGAGAAGATGCTTTCTGGGCAGGGGAATGGGGGAGACGAACTTTACATGAACTACAACATGATTCATCTCCAGTCCCAATGCGGGAACATTTGCTGCAAGAAAATCTGACTGATGCACATAGCAATGTGATTCCAGGAACTGTGATATCAATCTGGCTCTCTCTCCTTCCCTGCCATGTATCCTTCTCCTCCCCCCACATCGCTCCTTCTCGCCCATCTCTTTAATTGTTTCTTTCCTTAGCTAGAGGGTGTAGTTAGCTTCAACCAAGCCATTATGTGTATATCAGAGCCTCCAAGGCGCGATCCATCACCATTTCCCCAAGTACGTGTCACTGCCACAGTGCTGTAATTTCACCATCATTTTATGCTACAGTTGGACTCCCTCCAGGCAGAATTTGTGGCCACTGAAACATCTGTGCAACCTCCTATCCACTCCCTTGAAATCATTTAAGACCTTTACCACAAAAGATCTTCCTCCACTTCCATCCTCTATGGTCAGCAAGGGAGGGGAGAAGACCGCAAGCAGAAAACTGTAGATGGTGATGGATCTGTATTTATAAAGAACTATTACAGGACACAGTCCGGAATTGAGAATAAAACCAATTATTTTTTGCTCTGAAATTTTCTCTCTGTGTTTAACTCTCTCTGGGTTGAGAATGTGTCTGCCAGCCTAGAATTTCATACACAGCAACCTGATGAAACCAAATCGGAGAGCCTCAAGAAGAGCCTATCTTCTCCCTCTGGGCTACCGCCTGGGGACAGCATGGATTATCGGTAACATGTGTCCGTGCTTATACAGTACTCAAGGGGCTGTGTCTAGACTGGCCGCTTGAATTTCCGCCAGAACACTGACGATCTCACGTAAGAAATCAGTGCTTCCTGCGGAAATACTATGCTGCTCCCGTTTGGGCAAAAGTCCTTTTGCGCAAAGCTTTTGTACAAAAGGGCCAGTGTAGACAGCTCAGATTTGCTTTGCGCAAAAGAGCCCCGATGGCAAAAATGGCGATCGGGGCTTTTTTGCGCAAAAGCGTGTCTAGATTGGCATGGACGCTTTTCCGCAAAAAGTGCTTTTGCGGAAAAGCGTCCGTGCCAATCTAGATGCTCTTTTCCGCAAATGCTTTTAATGGAAAACTTTTCCGTTAAAAGCATTTGCGGAAAATCATGCCAGTCTAGACATAGCAAAGGGTGTTTCTAGGGAGCCTGGAGTTACTCTCCACCCAAGTCCCGAGGAGGGGCGCCTAGTGCAAGGGAGCAGGAGGAGTTCCCCTTGCCTCGCTCACTGCCGAGGTGGGAGCTGCAGTGACCGGGCAGCCTGCTGCACAATGCCCCACTACCCTTTCCCAGCCTGCTGTGCTCCACTTCACCATGGCGATGGGAAGCAGAGCACCCTGTGACCAGGGCACTCTGCTTCCTGCTATCGCAGTGAAGCTAAGCACAGCAGGCTGGAAGACGGGCAGTGGAGCAGAGCAGGCTATGGATCACTCCGGCTCTAGTTTCACGTATCCGGGCAGAGTTCCTCTGGGAGGTGTCCACTGGCTCCATTGACAGCTTTGAGGAGCAGTGGGCGCTGTCTGGGATTCTCTGCTCGGTGTCCCTGTCTGGCTCCCTTGTTTTGAACCTCTGACCCGCGCCCCCTGACCGTGTTTTTCATTATTTGTCCCCCGGAATTAGTTGATGCCTAGGTTCAGTCACCCCCCCCCCACACACACACAAGGCTGGGGGAGGGGCTTTTAGAAGTGGGTGGGCATCAGCCACTGCTGCAGCGGGAGGGGCAACTGCTGGTGGTGCCCCATGCCAGGCCTCCCCCTCGGCCGTCCTGGGCCTTGCACTGTTCCAGCCGAACGACAGTTGAGGCAGCTGCCGCAGGATCCCCCACAGTGTGGAGCCTGGGGCAGCTGCTCCAAACTGTCCTATGGATGGGCTGGCTCTGACAGTACTCATCGTTGTGGCGTGGGGTGTGAACTGCAATAGCAAGATTTTCCCCCATCAGACCTGCTATACACACTTGGGGAGCTACACAGAGGCTACGTCTAGACTGCATCCCTTTTTCGTAAAAGGGATGCAAATTAGACGTATCGCAATTGCTAATGAAGTGGGGATTTAAATCTCCCCCCTTCATTAGCATAAAAATGACTGCCGCTTTTTTTCTGCAGGGAGCTTTGCCGGAAAAAAGCGCCAGTCTAGACACAGATCTTTCGGAAAAGAAAGCCTTATTATCCCCTAGAGGGATAAGGGATCTTTCGGAAAAGACTTCATTTACGAAAAAGGGATGCAATCTAGATGGAGCCAGACAGTAAAGGAATACCCAGCCAGGCTCTCTGCGACTGTGGGAAAGTTTCTGTCACTTTAGCCAGGAAGCAGAACATCCCCTGGCACTGTTGGGAAGAGAAGGCAATGTGTGTGCAATAAATATCAGTATTTAGATCAATTAAGGTCAGAGTAGATGATAAGGAGCACAGGCCAGGACCAAGCCTCCTGATAGAGCTGCACACAGCAAACAACTTTTGTATCGTGTGTTTATGAATTTTATCCAGGGCCAAGTGAGCAATGGACTTAGCTTCCTTTGCCCTACAGTATTTCCACTGGAGCCGTAGGTCCCCTGACCCACCAAGTGCTGGGTGCAGAGACTCCCTTCACCTGCACATCCTACCTCACCTCCATTCCCAAACAAAGGGTGGGAAAGGAAGACTGGCTCTGATTGGAGGAGTTCTAATGCCATCGTGCAGTTAATCTGAAGCCTCAGTCCTAGCTCTCAGGCTCTTCCCATGAGCACCAAAGTGCTGTGGGAAAAAGGAGAGGAGACAGGTAGTAATGGACAGTGAAATTTATTCAGGAATTGTGACACAGCACTCTCAGACACAGCGGAAAAGCCCACACCTCATGCCCACAAGCACAGGCAGGCATCTCCTTGCTAGAACAGTCAGAAGCTACATCAGAAGATAGTGTAGTTCTCACAGGTGTGCCATGCTGCACACCTGCCTTTTTCACTCCCTTTGAAATGAAACCTCTCCCTGCAAGGCCTCTGTGTGCAGATTGCCCAACAAAGGATCAATCCTGTCCCCTTTCCTCCTTGTAAGAAGCACAGAGGAAAGGAGCAGGGATCTGCATTTGCCCCCTGGTAACAAGCAAAGCTCTACTAGCCTCCCCAACAGTGGCTGTGGCAGTAAATCACATTCACAGGCCTGAATCTAGTCAGCAAGTGGAGGTAGGAAGCATGTAGCTGCAGAGCTCTGTCCTCTCCAGCAGGGGTCACTGTGACCAGTGTTTATTGGTAACGAAAGAGGTGCCCGGCTCAAACAATGATTTCCTTTCATAACTAATGCAGCAAGCCCAGAGGTGCCGGGGCGCAGCCCTGGCATTACTTAAGCACAGATGGAGACCCTAAGAAGGGGAATATTGTGGGCATGGGGAAACTGCAGGGCTCCAATTACATCCTCTGCAGTGAGTCAGACACACAGGCATGGGTATCTGGCTTGCTCAAGGGGGATGTGGGCATCAACTTCAGAAACAATATTCCAAAATACAGCTTTAAAAACAAAGGCAACAAGTAGAGGGTGAGGGGTGAAGTCGCTGGGACCCTGTCCCACAGAGGGCTGCCATAAACTACAATACAAAAATAAAGATTTTAAATGGAAATAAAAAGTCTGGAGTTGATTGTCGGTATCACATCCGGAGGCCTCTGGCTTGTAACATCTAGAAAATGAGAGAGACGGAGAACAAACCCAAAGGCAGAATGAAATCAAACATGGAGGAGAAAGGGAGAGCAGGACAAATCAAGAGGAAAGGCAAAGTGACAGAAGATGAGAGAACACAAAAGAGAGGCATGAAAAGAGAGGGAGTGAGAGAGAGAGGAGGGAAAAATCCATGTAAGTAAAATACACTGACTCCTAGGAAAATAGTATGCAGGCCTCATAGCTGAGGGCACAGAGACTCCTGAACAGAGGGATGGAGAGAGCTAGCAGATACTGGAAAACCAATGACTTCCCCTAATCTTAGGGGTGTGGAACAAACAGTTCAGGAACCTTCAATTTAGCACAAACCCTGTACGCTCCCTAAAAAGAGACACACAAAGCCCTTTTCTAGGTCTCCTCACCTCCTTCACACCCTCCACCCTACAGCCAGGGCTGGTGTGCCCACGTTCCTGTTCTCTTGCTGCCAAAAACCAGGATGTACTTCACAAAGAGCTGCCTAGTTTCTATTTTCACCCCCAAGAATACTTACCCTGTCAGAATCTGCTGGGAAACACCCACTCAGCAAAGGTTTCTTTAAAAGGCAGGGAAATATATGGAAATCCTCATGCAAAATATTCTCTTAGCTATCAAAAGGATTAAACAGCAACTTCTGGGGAAAAGTCATGTGCGTGCATGGGCCAGGCACTCCCTCCATCATCATCCTATCTTCAAAAGCGACAAGGAGTCCTGTGGCACCTTATAGACTAACTGAAGTGTAGGAGCATAATGCTCCTACACTTCAGTTAGTCTATAAGGTGCCACAGGACTCCTCGTCGCTTTTGCAGATTCAGACTAACACGGCTACCCCTCTGATACTTGACATCCTATCTTCCTTGCTCTTGTTCTCAGTGTCTCACCGCTCTGCTCTTCCTTCTGCTACCAGAGCCTCTAGTCCAGAACTAGAAGGCCTGCTTAAAAAGTAAGGCACATCCAAAGGGAATCAGAAAAGCACAGAGTAAGAATCAACCCTTCCCGGCCCCCACCAGAGCCCTATAAACCAGAGCCAGATCCATAAGAAGGGAGATGAGAGTCACTCATGCAGAGCTCAGAGTCATATCTGAGAGTGCAGACAGGTACCATACCTGCAGAGGAGGAAGAGTGAGGAGGAGGAGGAGACAGGAGCCTGAGCAGGGAGCACACAGGACCCCAGGAGTGGAAGGTGACAGGGGAGGCAGGAACCTAGGTGCCCAAGGAGAGTGAGGGAAGATGGGGAGAACTGTGTGGAAGGCAGGAAGTAGAAGAGAGGTGAAAAGAACCCCCTGGGCAAAAAGGGAGCAGGAGGGGGAATCTGGACAGGAGACAGAATTAGCAGAATCCCAAATAGATTAATTTGCTGCAAATAAAAATAATAAAATAAAAAGTTTAATATAAAGCAGTAGCCAAGTGTAATAGATCTCCCCCCGCCCTACCACTGAGCCCTCAGCCCCCTGCATTCCCTGTTCCCGGTGTGGTTCCATCAGCCCCTTCCCTAGTGCTTTCCTGACACTAGCTGCGTGGACTCTCACCAGATGGGAATGGACGGCTTTATGGTTGGGTTTTTTTATTATCATTTTCCTCAGGGATTTGATGCACCTTTCTCCTCTGCCTCCTCCTCCTGCTCTTCCTTCTCTGGATCCTCCTCTGTGCTCTGCGGCCCAGCATGCAGTACAAAGGGAAGAAAGATTGGAGACACTTGCAAGTCCTGCCATGGTGACTCTTTCTCATGTACAAGGGCTCTAAGAAGCAGTCAGATTTGGGCATAGGAAGGAATGACCTAAAAACCTTTAGGGTTCAGAGGAATTCAGACCTCCTGTGAAACCCTGAGCAGGGATTGTGCATGGGAATCAGGCAGGTATGTATCCCAAGGTATGTATGCAGATGGGTGTCAGGGACTGATGACTTTTGGTCCTTCCCATGTTCTGCAAGACACGTGTCTACCAAGAAAGGGTGCACCAAGGGAGTTTCTCCCCTCCCTTTCCAGCCTGGAGATGAGAAGGGCGCCTCCCATTGGCACACACCAGAACTCAGGGAAGGAAGTATTCCTCACTCTCCAAGAGGATATAGTCCTTTAGTCAGCAAACAAAGGTACCCACTGCAAGGCATTCTGGATATCCACACATCAATGGGAGTGGTACACACATTCAGTTTAGGTAGGAAGAGAGATGAGGAGGGATACTGGGAGGCATGAGAAGGGCAGAGGTACCTTGTGACAGTGATTTGCTACACACACACACACACACAAAGTCCTGTTTGTTGGGGGTAGCACTGCATGACTCTGAACAAAGAGACAGGCCGTGACATTTCACTGCCTGGCTAGCCCACCATGGAGGGGGAGGGAGGAAACAGAGAAGAGGCTCCTTATGGTGATGAAGATAAGCCATTAACAGGGACAGTGAAGGGCAGGTTGGTCTCACCTTGGCTTTGCGGCTAGGCTCAGAACTCAAGCCATTAGGGGAGTTGTACAGTTCTTTGGAGACTACACACAGGAACTCTGTCTGGTCCTCATTCCCATAGTTATAGGACGACCCAATATTCACCAGCTGGAAATGACAAAAGAGGCAAAGTCAAAGAGCTCTCTCATGCTTTGCCACACATTCACTTCTCACTGGGAGCAGGGATATGGTCAATGCCCTGCAGAAGCATGCAGCCAGATACTTATGTGCTACTTCAGCCAAGAAACCAGAGAAACTGGGGACTGAAGAGAGAATGTGACAGAGAGAACTGGGGGTGGGGAGGTGGAGCTGCTATAACACAAAGAACTGTAACTTCATTCAGATTCCTCCATGCACCCCAGAGAAGTTGCAGAGAGCCTGGGACCTACTGGCACAATCTCTGCTGAGTAAACCCAGCACAGTATGCACAGAGGAAAAGATGTATTCTGGTGCCTTGGTGTTAGAGCACGTTCCCCATCTCTCCGCTAGCACACAGCTCCTCTTCCAGCCCACACACCTGCTCAAAGCGCCATCCATCAGACATAGTGGAAACCATCTGAGTGAGCTCTTCTTCCTGGCACTGCAGCACCCGGTACACATGCTTTGGAGGCACCTGTGAGAAGAGAGAGAGATATTGCTGAAGAGCTTGGCTTTCAGGGCAGCAGCTTCAGCAGGCTTCAGCAGAAAATTGAGCCAAGCAGCCTAAAAAGAGCCTAAAATGATTCTGAATGTTATTTTGTGGCAAAAACGGATACCCCTGTGGCTGGGATTATAAACATGAGGGCCCTACAAAGAGGTACGAGAGAACAAAGATTTCTGCAGAATCACACCTCAGGTGCAGCAGGAGAGCACATAGATTAAAAGGATCTACCGTGAGGAGGGGAAGGATTCAGCACCCAGCACAGTCCAGGGTCATTCTTACAGGAAGTTTGCATTTGTTACTGTTAATGAAAGCCATTTATATAGTGCCATCTCTGTCCCCTGTGCTTGAGCAAGGAGGCACAGAGGGAGTTTACAAACGAAGGCAGACAAGGCTAAAAGTAATGCAAGTTCAGACATGGGATAACTGTTGAAGGAAAGAGACAATGGCGAGATCACTGGTGAAGGAAAGTGGTAACTCTGCTGCAGGATTCCTGAGTGACCTGGAGAAAAAAAAAGTCACATAATCTCTCTGAGTCTTTGTTTCCAGTTTGCAGAATGGGAGTAATCTGTTCTCTCCCATCCTTTCTCTTGTCTACTTAGACTGCAGGTTCTTTGGGGCAGGGACTGTTTCTGTGTTTGTATAATACTGCAATTAGAGCCCGGTGTGTCTCAGAGTTATAATGCAAATAACAAATATTCATTACTGTTATTACAGGAATAAATGTGTATTAAAGAGCAATCTGAAAGAGGTAATTACAGCAAAAGATGGAGGAAGCACAACTTAGTGATTTTCCTCACCACAGACATGCCCTTCACCTCCCACAGCATTAATGCCTCAGTGACATGCCACAGATACTAATTGGATTCTAATCCAGATTCTAACTGGAATCACAGGGGCACACAGACAATGCATCTTCAACAAACCATCCCATTCCCACACTGAAATAGTCCCTGTAATTAATACCCTGACTGGAGGTACAGGATATAGTGTCCTTCCAGGTCAGACAAGCACAGCATCCAGTGCCACCGCTAGGATTACTGTTTTATTTTAACTATCAAGGTGGTTTCCTACTGGGTGAAGATTTTGTGCCATAGAATGAAGCTCGCTAACACTGATCAATGGAATTATCCCTATCTTTATGGGTCAGCAAACAGCCCCCCATTGATGTGACAGGGCCACCTCAGCTAATACACCAGGAACTGAACTGAGAACCTTCACAGCAAAAAACATTAGCTTCTACAGCTTGAGCTAAAAAGCCAAGGCTCCATGTCTGTGACAGCTCATATCCTCTACAGATTGGCATGATGTGAGGCTAGTAACACCCACCCACTAGCAGATTATTTTTCCACAGCACTTCCCCGCTGTCTCTCCCATATTTGACCTCCCTTCTAGCTCTCCATTCCCCTCTCCCTACTTCGCCTTATCTCTCCTCGCCCCTCATACCTGTGTTACTGTGTAATTCTTCTCCTCCAACCTGTCCTTGATTATTCTGATTAAAGGGCCAATGTTATAGAACTCCGCTTCTTCTAGAACCCCTAGAAACACAGAGAGCACCAAAGTAAGTGTTTGCTCTTTTTAGTCCCATTTCCCAGTACTCGGAGCTTCCTAAAGGGAAAGCCCCATCTGTCTGTCTCGGGAATTCACATGCCTGGACTGAGGACTCGCTACCCTAGGGAGCAGAGCCATCACCACGTAATAGTTCTCCACTGCCTGGAAGCTCTTACAATTGGAGATTGAATTCAGGCCCCCTTTATAATTGCCCCAGTGGAAGGTGCAGATGTGTGTAACCAGGCTACGGTGTCAGGGTCTCCACAACTGGAGACAGAACCCGATCTCTCTGGTTAACGTTCCCAGGCTTCTGAGAAACTGCACCCATATCCCTATCCTGGCTGTTATTCCAGGAGAAGGAGAATGCACATGAATGTCTAATCCCAGGCCTGCTAATTACATTCCAGGAGAAGGAGACTGCCCACGAATGTCTAATCCCAGGCCTGCTAATTATTTTTCCAGGAAGGGAAAGGGTTAGAACCTCTGATTACTGACCCAGGGTGTCTATGAACTGGAGGGTGAATTTAGGCCCCTAATTAACACAGGACTCATTCTTGCCCTGTTAGTTACTGTCCGATGCAACCCTAGTTATTGTCTTCGGAATTGAATCTAGATTTCTGGTCCCTGTCCTGGGCTTGTTGGTGATCTCTGCATGACACTTTACCCCAAAACAGATAAACAAAGATTTGTGTTTCACTTCATTACCTCCAGTAGCTGCATCTGTCCACTCCCCTAAGACACACATGACTGTGTTTGCAAACAGGGAGGGTACATGGCAGCAACCCTAGTTATTGTCTTCGGAATTGAATCTAGATTTCTGGTCCCTGTCCTGGGCTTGTTGGTGATCTCTGCATGACACTTTACCCCAAAACAGATAAACAAAGATTTGTGTTTCACTTCATTACCTCCAGTAGCTGCATCTGTCCACTCCCCTAAGACACACATGACTGTGTTTGCAAACAGGGAGGGTACATGGCATCTTATGGATCCCAAGGGAGAATAATGCTTAGGAACCAGCATTCTGTTACTACACAGGTTCCCTCTTTGAATCAGTACATATACAGGGCTAGCAAGTGGGATTTATTTGCCCCCTAACTGTCCCTGTTAAGCCTATGGTGCACTGAAAAGATACACTGACATTGCTACATCAGTTAGGGCTGTGACAAACACACACCTCTGACCACCACAGCTATGCTGGAAAAAACCTAGTGTAGAGACAAATACATCGATGGAAGAGGTGTCTATAACTAACAGATTGGGGAGGCAGCATTCCTATAATGAGAGAAAAACTCTTAATGACACCATAGCCACACTGACAATCTCCATAGTGTAGGCACACCATGAAATCCTCTCTGAGCTTCTCATTTTCCCACTGCTTTGGTCCATCCCCCAAAAATAGGAGAAATGGAGAAGATCAATAAGAAAGCATTCTAGTCTCTTGGGGCTCAGACCCTGTAAAGCTAACACCAAGAAAGGCCATCCATTCCCTACTTGGGAATTCATCAAAGATCCTACTGTGCAACACTACTATGGCCTATCCACTCCTTTCCCCTCCCATCCCAGCCCCAGACACAAAAGCTTCATGTTCCAAATAGTGGAGCACTGGTGAAGAAACCAGCGTGCACAGAGTTGCATTAACATAGGCTCACCCTACAATAATATCATGCCATCACTACAGATGGGGAGAAAAAACTTGCTGGAGTTTCCCAAATCTCATTCATTGTATTGTATGGTAAATGGGGCACAGAGAGCTTTCCAGGATGAGGACTCCCAAGATAGACATCTCAAAAATTCTAGCAGAAAAGAGGGGGCCTGCTCCCTGGGAGAATTTTTTAGACAGCAAAATTGAATATGGTCAGGACATTGGGGTTAACAGCACCTGTTGTATCCCATCAACAGAGGGAATGGATGTGAAGAGGGAACTGTCTGGGTTTCAACACTCACCTTCTTCAGCCATGTCTTTGTTCAGTACCAGCTTGCCATGACGGAGAAAATTCAGGATGGGTCCAAAATAGGTGGGGTCCCGGTCTATAAGGTACGCACCAGTCTCATCCTAACAACAGAGACAAGCAATGATGGGAAGAACCCAGAGGAAAACTTATCACTGTCCCTAACTGCTCTAGACAACAGACTATAATAAAATAAAAATTGTGGCAATCCTAGGTTACATTCTACAACAACTTCAGTCTACAGAGCACAGGACCAGGAGTAGGAAACCTGGGTCCCTTTGGCTGTTGAGAATTCACTTAATCTTTCTGTGTCTTGTTTTCCCTGTGAAAAAATGGGGATAATTATTAGTGCTGGTTGGGAAACAGTTTTTCAGTCTTGTGAGAATTTTCGAAATTTATCTATTTTTTTCCCATACTATGATGAAAAGTCAAAATCCTAAAGAAAATTATGAATTGAAAATTCAAAAAGAAGAAAAAAATGTTAACTGGAAAAATAAAAATATATTTCAGTTTTGACTATTTTAAAACATTTTTTTCTTAAAATAACTTAAATTTCAAAGCAAAGTAAATTTGATCCAAAGCTCAGAATTATTTTCATTTTGAAAATGTCAAAATGAGACATTTCAGCAGTTCCAAAACTCCCTCCCTACCTCCAAAAACCCCCAGGAAATTTGTCAAAACTGACCCCTTTCCCAGGAACAATTTTGATTTTGACAAACTGGCATTTTCTAAGGAAAAAACATTTTATCAAAAAATTCCTAACCTGATTTGAGAGCTACAGGTTAAAAGTAGCATACAAGAGCTAACTTTGGATCCCAAAGCACTTCCCAAACTGCATTCATATGGCACCACAGAAAAGCAGCCATCTCTGGGGTGGATGGCTGCAGCCAACCGGCACATATTACACTACAAAACAGCAGGGAGAAGAGGAATGTTAAACCAATCTCTAATTAAAAGTGTGCTGGGATTGTTAACATTCAGGCAGAACTTTTTTGTTATAGGTCTCCATCCTAATATGCATGCTGAACAACTGCACAGTATTTTCAGTGCATCTCCCTTGAAAGAGCAAATGGCTGAATTGATCCTGCTGAGGCCTTAGGTCCTTGGTATTTCACCCCTGAAATGAAGATCCCTAACCCTTTCCTGTACAGTAACTCCTACTTAACATTGTCCTGGTGAACATTGTTCCGTTGCTTATCTATGAGAACACATTCTCATTTAAAGTAGTGCAATGCTCCTTTATAATGTCATTTGTCCGCCTGCTTTGTCCATTACTTGTAGGATTTCCTGGAAAAGCAGCCTGTCCTTTGGGGGCAGGGAGTTGGAAACAGGGAGGGCTGGCAGCCCCCCATCAGCTTCCCTAAATTCCCTGAAAGGTACAGTATATACTATTCTATACGGTTACCAGGGAGATCCCAGAATAAAAAGATACCATGTGGAGTCTCAGCTCAGGGCTCCTACCACTTCAGCCTGTATTGGGAGGAGGAGAATGGGAGAAGCGCTGTGTGTAAGCTGGGAAGCTTATCTGTCACCAAAAGAAGCTGGTGCAATAAAAACATACCTCGTTCACCTTCTCTCTCTTTTATGGGAGGCTAGTAATCATGGCCCCATACAGTAAAGCACAGACTTGAGTCCTATGTAGCTGTGGGGGGCTAGGGCACGTGGGAGAAGAGGGGGCATTTCTTGTGGGGCTGGTGCAGTGTCCCAGACAGCTGATGGGGAAGCAGGGGTTAGGCTGAGCCACACACTATCGGGGGAGGGAAGGTGGCAGGCCTGTTTGGTCCCCACTATTAAGCCAGAAACAACTCCCCTTCCACAGAGGGGTCCGGTCCAAAACCCCCGGGGGCTCTGCACAGCTGGAAAGCAGGGGGCGCGCTCGCCGGGGGAGAGGGGAGGTGTTTTAACGAGGGGTCTCTCTTCCATTGCCCTGGGCCGGTGCGCGCCGTCCATCAGCCTGTCTCTCCAGCCCGCTCCCTCCTGATACTGCCCGGGGACCCTTCACCTTCCTCCGCCTGGATCTGCTCCTCGGTCCAAAACCCCCGGGGGCTCTGCACAGCTGGAAAGCAGGGGGCGCGCTCGCCGGGGGAGAGGGGAGGTGTTTTAACGAGGGGTCTCTCTTCCATTGCCCTGGGCCGGTGCGCGCCGTCCATCAGCCTGTCTCTCCAGCCCGCTCCCTCCTGATACTGCCCGGGGACCCTTCACCTTCCTCCGCCTGGATCTGCTCCTCCCAGCCGGGCCTGCGCTGTTGTCCGCGCTTACCCCTTCTGCCTGCAGCTCCTCCCCCTGGCACAAGCGGCAGAGGAAAGATTTCTGCTCCCGGCACAGGGTCTGCCTGGTGGTGAGGAAAACCGTGCCCCCGACATTGAGCCGCACCCACTTAGCCCGGCTGCCGTCCGCGGGCTGCGGCGGGGGGCTCTCCCAGGTGTACGACACCCGCTCTGCAGCCTGCGCTTCCTCCCCGCCTTCCATCCTCATCGCTCCCTCTCTCTGCCCAGGGCCCCCCGCTGGAGACGCCACTGCAGGTGTTGGGCACTGGAGGATTCTGGGATCTGAAGTTTATCCGGTGCCTTCCACCTCGGAGTTGGCTGCATGTCCCTTGTGCTCAGTGCGGGCAGCGATGGGATCTCTGGGGAAGGAAGATTGTGGACAATGACATTACACTGAGCCCATCCCTAGTCTGCTTTTACTAGAGATGGGCTCAAGCCGCAAAAGCCAGCTCCTCGTGCTGAACTCCCTCCCCACAGTTCCAGGGATGCCAGGATGATAGGCTTGCCTTAGAGCCATTCTCTGGGCACTGCTATTCAGTTGACAGCCGTAGAGTACTTTGAAGCAATAGGTAAACGCTATTAATATTAATCACCACATTGTATCATCTCTGCCATTGGTCACCCAAGAATCCTGGGAGCTGTAGTTTTGCATAGCTCACTGTCTCTGCAGCCCCAGGTCATTTTTGGCACCAGCAGATGCCAGGAGGATTAGCACTAATGCTGGTGGCGGTGGATATGAGAGGATTTTGGAAGGTGCAGCTTATACACCAGCTCTGGGTAGTGCAGACAGTGTTGCTTTGGGTTGAGGAAAAATCCTGCACATGGGCACAGAACAGTTGGGGCTAACACTTCCAATGCTGAACCAGACAGATCTGGTTCCTGTTCTCCTTTTACACCGCATCATAGCCTTCACTTCTCTGATAGTGCAGCAAGGTGCTCATGGAAGGCTCAGACCATTTCTTTCTTTGAGACTACATGGATGCCCCTGGAGGGAGCAGACCAGTGGCCAACATCAAATCCCTGGCTTCTTGAAAGGTATCTACTGTAATAATCGCTTATGACTTCTAACCCCCACCAGTACTAAACCTGCCTCTTTCCTGGATGGGCTTCTCTAGATCCATTCAGTCCCAGGCTTTTCCCCTATGCCCACCCCATCCAGGGGATTAATTCATTCAAACAGCACCTGCCTCTCTCTCTTCTAAATGCCCTGCTCTGGGGGGTGGTTTTGAGAAGGAAGAGAGAAGTCAAGTTGCACATAACCCGGGGCTAGGTGAAACACAAAAGCTTTATCTATGCATCCAATTATGCTTCTACCTCACCCAGAGGTCACCTGACATATTAATGGCCATCCATATCTGGCAGAACAATGTTAGTAGCTTCTCTCCCTAAAGGCTGACATTGGCCCAGAGTGACTCTCCCGCAAAAAAAAAAAAAAAGCAAGCACACTTGACCATTTTTGGCCAGGGTAATATCCATAAAGTGCAGCATTGAAGTATAAAAATTTGAATAGGTACATGTCTATTAACCTTTCAGGGGGTTTTTCCTGGGTCATCCTCATTCCACCTTTTTTATCCCATTGTCTGGTGCAATTCAGTCCTTTTAGTACATAAAAGGGTCATAAAGGCAACAGATTTCTCCCCAGATGTTACCCAGCCTAAAGGAATTCCCTGGAAAACACATCCTTTTCCCCCACTGGCAGGAATTTGCTGGTCAGGTCACCAGGGTCCTCTCGCTTCAGCCCTTTATTTTGCTTGGATATTTTGATATCACAGAACCTGCTTTTCTGAACACATGGTACTTGTGGATGGTCCAGACCATGTTCTTCTCGTAGCTTGCCAGCTCGCTGAGGAAGTCTGTGATCCTTGCATTGGGGCTCTCCTGGGCCATCTTCCACTTACTCACAATAGCCTCACTCCCAGCTCTGCAGGCCCAGGGCAAGAGGACAACAGGGGCAACAATGCAACTTCTGCTTCCGAAGAATGGGGAAGAACTAGTCTCAGACTCCTGCCTCTGTTCTGCCCCCATATCTTCCCATAGGCCAAAAATGGCTGACTGCCTAGCTGAGCTGGGCTTTTTGGTCACCAGCTTACTGGTCGCTAGGGTTGCCCATCTCCAGGCCATTGTCCAGGGGTCCTGGCTGCTAGGCCAAGTCAAACCTGGGCCTCCTTAACAAACCGTCTCCCACCAGCTTGTTCCACACAGCACACAGGGAAACTGAGGCACACATAAGATTCATGTAAAACACTGCAAAGATCCCCAACTTTATTACACCAGAATACATCACACCTCTTACAGGCCCCAGTGTACAGGGTCTGCTGGAGGGGTGGGAAGGGGATAGCATAGCTGGAATATACCCTCTAGCTATTTTCAGCTGTTAATTAGCCTCTTGGCCAGCAGTTCTCAACCAGGGACTGAGGTACCCATGGGGGCCTCAAACAGGTTTTAGGAGGGTCCACCAAGCAGGGCCAGTGGTAGACTCATTGGGGCCCAGGGCAGAAAGCTGAGCCCCACCACCTGGGGCTGAAGCCAAAGTCTGAACAATTTTTGCTTCATTACCATGTAGTTGCACTCTTGCTAGCCCCAAGCACTGGCCCTGGATTTTATAAGCAGAAAACCAGTTGTTGAGGCCATGGAGCTTTTACAGCATTTTTGGGAGAACCCCCATCTTAGCCCACCACTGCAGCAGAGTGTAGGTGCAGGAGCAAGCTGGGGATACGGGTCTGGGGGCACCTACCTGGCACAACTCCTGGGGTGGGGGAGATTACAAGTATCTCCACACAGATCCTCATGCTCCCTGCAGGCACCACCTTCCCCATCTCTCTCTACCCCTTCTTCCCACCCCCGTTGCTCCCAGTGGCCATGATTCCCAGTCAACGGGAGCGACAGGAGATGGTGCCTGCAAGAATCACTTCCTTGAATCATGGGGAGCCATGCAGTGCTGCTTCCTTCCCCCCTGCCAGGCAGAGCCCGTGAGCCCAATCAGGTCTGCATCTTGCCTTGATTGGGCCCACGATGTTCAGGTCTCCTCCCCACCCCCCAGCAACAGTGAGAGTCAGCTGGTGCTCAAGCCACAGCCTCCTCCCACGGGGGGGGGAGAAGAGGGAGGGCAAGCAAGGCAAGCCACAGGCTTAGGCTCCCTGCTACTCTAGACCAGAGGTAGTTCTCAAATGGTGGATCAGGACCCAAATTGGGTCATGACTCCATTTTTAAATGATCATCAGGAAGGATGCAAAGTGTTAACCTATTACCCAGTAAGCATGCCCCGGCACACTTGCCTGGGTACCCGGTCAACCAGCAGGGGGCTGCTCCAGCAGTGACACTCAATGATGGGTTTAGCCAGCCCGCCCAGGCCTGTTAACTGGTTAACCTAACCAGGATTCTACATCCCTAGTTGCCAGGGTTAGCATTAGACTTGCTGGGCCCTGGAGTCAAAGCCAAAGTCCCATCTCTCAGGCAAGGCTCAGGTTACAGGCCTCCCACCTGAGGCCGAAGCCCTTTGTCTTCATCTTTGGCCCCTTCTCTCCCCACCTATGGCAGGGGGGCTCAGGTTGGGGCCCCTGCTCCTAGTAATTTTCATTGTCAGAAGTTTGAGAAACCCAGGTCTAGGGTAAGTCTATATTCATAGCATGAGGGGTGCTGTCAGCTCTAGTGCCCAGACCTGGCCTACCATAAGAATGAAGTTGTCATAGGAGGAAGGGCAAATTCTAGTGCCCAGACCTGGACTACCATAAGAATGAAGTCATCATAGGAGGAAGGGCAAATTGTAAACATGTAACTCACCATTTGTAATGCATCCCAGCTGCTCACTGAGAATTAATCAGAAGTCAAACACCCACACATACACTTCTCTCTTCAGACTAATCTAGGATAAAGGGTGCTATGACCAACAGGAACCTTCCTTTAATCAAACTTACTGATGGCAATGTGCTTGTACAGATGTAACCAAGAGATTAATTCAGTTTTGGAACACGCTGAATCAAATACCTTGACATTATTTGCTGGGGCGATTTTCAGCTTCAAGACCTTCAGTAGTAGCCTTGAGAAAATGTCTGCCTTTAGGGGTAGCTCATCCCTAGGACAAGGTACTGAAGCACAAAACTAGTTTTAAGCATGGGCACAGTCCTGTGCAAGTCAGTGGAAGTACCTGAAGAAGAGCTCTGTATAAGTCCGTCTCTCTTGCCAAGGGAAACAGATCCAATAAAAGCCATTACCTTGCCCACCTTGTCTCTAATAATCTGGGACCATCATGGCTACAATGCTGTCTACAGCAGGCGTACTCTCTCATTCCCACAGTTAGGCATATATAAGTGTCATGCTGAATTGGAGCAGAGCAGCTGAAAGTCACACAACTGCATGCTTGTTATTGGCTGCAGGACATGAACAGACGTAGACAAACAGAGACGTATGCTGTCCCTTTCTTATTGGAGTTACAGGGCTCCCCAGGGGAAACTGAAATATACCTACTACGGATGAAGCACACACTAAACTCACCTCATTACAACAGCTTTCTGCGCCCCCCTGCTACCATAACTACTGGTTTTAGCACACTATCTTAATCACAGCTAGCGTGGCCATGTCTACCTGAGCCAGAAATTCCACCCGCAGCTGGGCTAACAGTCCCCAGGGAGGGGGACAGAGCAAGATGCCTCTGATCTGTACTGTCCCAGGCTCAGTACAGGAGAAGACCTTTAAACATATTAAAAAGTGTTTTTATTACATAATCTTTGAAATATATTCTTAAAAAAGGAAACAGGATTTCAATGGTGGATGCAATACTGGCTGAGGTCAAATCCAATAAGAGTCCGAGTGCGAGGAGATACTCAAAAAGCTCCTCTACTCATATTCCTCACACAGTGTCTAATCAGGAGAGATCATCCCCATGGAGAAATCCAGCCTCAATTAATTATCCCACCATCCTATGATCAGTGCTTCCCCACCCCACCCTTCCACGAAGATGGTATAAAAAGCCATCTTCCATGCCCAGAAAAATTAGTGGGGGGAGGAAAAGGGTAAGGCGTTAGAACCATTTATGTTTAGATTTGTCACCCAAGACCTTCACTCAGTAGCACACTATGGCTACGTCTACACTGGCCCCTTTTCCGGAAGGGGCATGTTAATTTCAGCCATCGTAGTAGGGAAATGCGCGGGGGATTTAAATATCCCCCGCGGCATTTAAATAAAAATGTCCGCCGCTTTTTTCCGGCTTTTAGAAAAGCCGGAAAAGAGCGTCTACACTGGCCCCGATCCTCCGGAAAAAGCGCCCTTTTCCGGAGGGTCTTATTCCTACTTCAAAGTAGGAATAAGATCCTCCGGAAAAGGGCGCTTTTTCTGGAGGATCGGGGCCAGTGTAGACGCTCTTTTCCGGCTTTTCTAAAAGCCGGAAAAAAGCGGCGGACATTTTTATTTAAATGCCGCGGGGGATATTTAAATCCCCCGCGCATTTCCCTACTACGATGGCTGAAATTAACATGCCCCTTCCGGAAAAGGGGCCAGTGTAGACGAGCCCTATGATTTTAAAACAGGAAAGGCTAAGACCATCTCCCAGAGCTTGTTCCAAGGCAATTTGTCTGCACTGAAGGGGCAGAAGCAGTGCTTCAGAGGGTCTTGCCTTTGCCCTCAGAGATGACTTCTCCAGGCCGTGCACGCATGTACCACTCCACCCAGGCACCATCATAGATAGCCACCTCTGGCTTGCCACAAAGGTAGGCTCCCAAGGCCACGTGGCAGGCAGTGACCTGGCTTTGAAAGGTCCACTTTCTTCTCCTGGAATAAGCTGCGGATCGCCTGAGGAGTCTTCTCAAAGCCAGCTTCTGTGAGAAAATCCAAGAAGGGGATGTTCACGGAGCCAGGGATATGACCAGGCTCAATTCCTGGAGGAAAAGAAAGGGACCAATGCAGACAAATTAATCTTTACATCGTGGAGGGTCCCACCCCTTCCTGAAAACACACTCTCTCACTCCCCCCTCCCTCTACACTAGGGGTCTCAAACTCAATTTACCTTGGGGCCAGTGCCAGTCCTCAAATCTTCCTAGTGGTCCAATGGGCACCCCGCTCTGGTAGGACTCCAGGGAGAGGGCCAGGTGTCTCTGGGTGTCTCCCAGCTCCACCTGCTGGCCCACGTGCTGCTTCTCCTGGGCAATTTAACAACACTCCCCTCCCCTGGGTAGCACAGTGGGGCTAGAGTGGCTTCCAGCTGCTAGCTCTGTTCCTGTGCCCTGGGGGAGGTTCATGCAGAGCTATCCTGTCCATAGGAGAGTTCAGTGTGACTGCCTCAGCCCTGGGCTTTGAGGAGCCCTGCAGCGGCTGCCCCCAACCATTTTATGGACAGGATGATCCCTCCATACTCAGGTTAGCCCATGGGGCCCTGGGTGGGCAGGGGCCAGCAGCAGGGGGAGGGAGCAGAGCTATGCACAGCCTGCTCTGCTCCACTGCAACTCCTGCTGCAAGCCCAAGCCAGGCCCTCCAGTAAGCCCCAAAGCCGTGCCCCTCAGGGGAGGGGGCCTGCGGTAAGGGATCCATCCAATGGGGGTAGGGGCAGAGGAAGCGGTGCAGGGGAGCAGGTAGAAGCCAGTGATCGTTTTTAAGCCAGCTCTTTGCAGAGCTGCCTGCCCCCTCCCCAGCACTGCTGCTGTGGTTGGGAGGAGGGGAGGGGAGGGGAGCAGGTGGCTTTACAGGAGCCAGTGCTCATGGGGAGCCTGCTCAAAAGCCGTCAGCCCCTAAGCACTGGCTCCCGCTTGCTCTCCATCCCCGCTGCCTCGGATACAAAGGCAGCAGGGAGGGGGCTTGCATGTAACCATGAAGTTTAACCAATGAGCTTAGGTTCATCGGTGAGTTGTTTAAACAAATACACTAGCACATCCCTAGACCGGATCAGAGGCTGGACTTGGGGGAAGAGTACGGGGACACACACCCCCTCCTCCGTGCCAATAGCCATGCATAGGCCAGATGGCTGTGATATTTAAGACCCTTGTTCTAGAGCCTCTGCACAAGGCTACTGTGAGGGTTAATGTCTGTATGTTTGACTACAAAGCATCATATAAAAACTAACTAGTATTAAAGGTATGGGGGAGGGAGGGGAAGAGAGCTATATTCTCTCTCCTCTCCCCAGATCCCCAAGAACTTGACCACACTGCTGCCTTGGAAACATGGGACTCTGCATTCATCCTCAAATATACAGCTTCTTTACTACTTGTATGGGCTGAAAGCCAGTCTCTGGTACCAAGACCAGCTCAGTGCAGCTCAAACAGCTAGGAGTGGGGAAAGGAGCACCCTTTTGCAGGCACATGTGACAGAGCCACAGTCTATACCACACCTCTTCTATGTGCCTGATTTGAGACTCAGCTGTGGAAGCAGGTGAATCAGCTGAGAAGCAAGATAGTTTTAGAGTGAAGGCACGGAATGGGACTCAGTAGATTTTATTTCCATTCCTTCCTTTACCTTACATATCGGCTACGTCTAGACTGGCATGATTTTCCGGAAATGCTTTTAACAAAAAGTTTTCCGTTAAAAGCATTTTCGGAAAAGAGTGTCTAGATTGGCAGGACGCTTTTCCGCAAAAGCACTTTTTGTGGAAAAGCATCCGTGGCCAATCTAGACGCGCTTTTCCGCAAAAAAGCCCCGATCGCCATTTTCACATTTTCTCTGCTGTCTACACTGGCCCTTTTGCGCAAAAGTCTTTCAGAAAAAGACTTTTGCCCGAACGAGAACAGCATAGTATTTCTGCAAGAAGCACTGATTTCAGACAGTAGGAAGTCAGTGCTTCTGCGGAAATTCAAGTGGCCAGTGTAGACAGCTGGCAAGTTTTTCCGGAAAAGCAGCTCATTTTCCAGAAAAACTGGCCAGTCTAGACACAGCCATCCTGTTTGTCTTTAGACCTGTATCCTAGTCAACCTGAGCCTCAGATTCACAGCAGAACTGCTTCCTCCTTTCCTGCAGCATATGGAGACCAGAACATTTGTCTGCCTTGGCCATTTAGGTTGTAAACTCTTTGTGGCAAGGCTATCTCCTATCAGGGGTTTGTACAGCGCACAGGCAAAAAGCACTGATTTCTTACAGTAGGAAGTCAGTGCTTTTGCGGAAATTCAAGTGGCCAGTGTAGACAGCTGGCAAGTTTTTCCGGAAAAGCAGCTCATTTTCCAGAAAAACTGGCCAGTCTAGACACAGCCATCCTGTTTGTCTTTAGACCTGTATCCTAGTCAACCTGAGCCTCAGATTCACAGCAGAACTGCTTCCTCCTTTCCTGCAGCATATGGAGACCAGAACATTTGTCTGCCTTGGCCATTTAGGTTGTAAACTCTTTGTGGCAAGGCTATCTCCTATCAGGGGTTTGTACAGCGCACAGCAGAATTGAGCTCTCTGCATGCTACCCATACTAAAAATCATAATCTACAGTAAATCTGGCTGTCAGATGGAGGACTTCACAGCCAGGATTAAAGACTCAGGGCTTCCTGATGGCACAGATGCAACAATTAAACATCTTGTGCTTGGTGTCATAAGTCCTTGCCCCACGATGAATGTGTTTTAAACAAGCATTTCCTGTAGCATATGGAGACCAGAACAGTGTGCGTGGCAAACAGATGTAGGTAAGCAAAGACAGCATCCACAAAGATGCTAAGCAATCTCCACTTGAAATCCATCTTTAGAACAAATGAGTTTCTATCCTGAATAGGGATGTGAACGGCTAGACACTTCCCCCTGCCCTTCCGCCACCACTCTCAGAAAGAGGCAGCAAGTTGGGGGGAGAGAAGGAGAGGTGATTCAAAGCGGCAGTGCCGCATGGAGCCCAGGGCCAGATCCTGGGCTTCATGTGGTGCTGCCGCTTTGAAACACTGCATGCGGCCCGGGGCCAGCTAGCGAGTCCCCAGCTGGCAGTGACAGCACTGCACTGAGCCTGGGGACTGCTGACCCTAGGCTCCATGCAGCGCTGCTGCTTTGAAATGCCCCAGGGAGCACAGGGCCAATGGGGGACTGCCTGAGTCCCCTGTTGGCCCCGTGCTCCCTGCAGCGCTTTTACTTTTGAAGTGTAGTAACAGCCCTGGGACCGATGCTACACTTCAAAGGCAGAGGCACTCTATCAACTAATTGAATAGTCAATGCAAATTGCATCAACTATTCAATTAGCCCGTGAATCTAAATTAACACCCCTAATTCTCTACCTTCAGAAAAGAGTGAGAGTCACACGTTGTGCCGTCAATGGACCTCATATTCATTATAGTGATGGCTAAGCAGATGCGTTACCTTCTCTGGGTTCTGCTTCTGTCCCTCTGAACCGCCCTGCAGAGCGAGCATCCACCAGCTGGAAGGCATGTGACTCTATGTTCTCATTTATGTCCTCATGGGTCTTCACCAGTGACGTGTCCAGAGAGGCATGGAACTCCACAGGAACGGCTCGACTCTTGCCAGAGCTCAGCGGATACCCCTCCAGCTGCCAGTTCTTCAGCCCACCATCTAGAAGGGAGACGGCATGGTGCCCAAAGGCCCGGAACATCCACCAGACACGGGGAGCAGAGAAGAGACCCTGATCACTGGCGTCATACACCACCACGTGGGAGTCATTCCCCACACCTAATTTGCCCACATACTCCATAAACTCATCTGCAGTAGGCAGCATATGATCATATGGTGATGTGCGGTCACTGCATTGGTCAATGTCAAAGAAAGCAGCACCAGGGATGTGACGCTCCTCAAACTCATGCCGGGGGTCACGCTTCATCTTCGGAAGATACCAGGATGCATCCAGGATCTTCACGGCCTGTTCAGCCTGAGGGGACTTGATGGTTTCTGAGAGCCACTTAGCCGACACCAGTGCCCGATAAAGGAATTGCTGAGACATTGCTCCTGAGTCCTGGCCAAATTCAAAGAGTCTCTCTTGGGTTTTCTGAAGGGGAGGAAAAATGAGGGATTAGTGACAGGAGATATCAGGGTGAACTATTGGAAAAAAGAGTAAGCTCCTCCCTGGGGGGGGGGGGGGGGGGGAGGAACTGTGTTTTTCTCACAGTGTACAGCACCTTGCACAATGGACTCTTGAGTACTATAACAATAAACAAAATAGTAGAAGAAAGGAACGCGTGCCCCAAGTTACAGAATACAACTACACCTCTGCTTCACTCTGTGCATGCCAGGCCAAAATCAGCTCTGCTGTGACACCTCTGGGGCTAGGTCAGAAATCAATGTGGCAGTTCAAAGATCATGAAATGAAGTTAAAGACAGAGAAATCCAGGGAAAGGAGCACCTGCAGAGTCTGTCTGACACTAGACTAAGCCAGCTGTATGTGGCAGGAGCCTGAATTCAAAATCAGGGAGAGAGAGCTCCTGTGTGTGTACTTTAGCAATTACAATTTTGCTGGGGACACAGGTCAGTGGTACATCTCCCAGATGCTACCACCAATCACTAAGAACATTGGCCAGTCCTGCACCTGCACTGTATGTGCCAGAGCCAGCACCCTGGACCACACAAACAGGAGCTCTGCACACAAGGGTCCCAAATCCTGAATTAAAGACTGCAATCTCCCTATTAAAAAAAAGCTGCTAATTTCCCCTGATCCCAGTTTTGCTGCTGTACTCTGCCAGCACTGTGGCTTTCCTACATCTCCCTGCCCCTTGCCACAGGAGCATGAGAGGAGGGAGGAGGGGTGCGCAGCTTTGGGAAGAGTCTTCACTTCCCTGACAGGCCTAGAAAGAACTCCAGGCAGAGCTGCCCCTTCTCATCCGGCTGCCCCAGCAGCATAACCCCTGCCCTGGCAGCACGGCACCTCAGCTGTGTCTAGACTGGCATGATTTTCTGGAAATGCTTTTAACAGAAAAGTTTTCCGTTAAAAGCATTTTCAGAACAGAGCGTCTAGATTGGCACAGACGCTTTTCCGCAAAAAAGCCCCGATCACCATTTTTGCAATTGGGGCTTTTTTGCAGAAAACAAATCTGAGCTGTCTACACTGGCCCTTTTGCGCAAAAGTTTTGCGCAAAAGGACTTTTGCCCGAACGGGAGCAGCATAGTATTTCCGCAAGAAGCACTGACACTTTTACAAGAGATCGTCAGTGCATTTGCGGAAATTCAAGCGGCCAGTGTAGACAGCTGGCAAGTTTTTCTGGAAAAATGGCTGATCTTCCAGAAAAACTGGCCAGTCTAGACACAGCCCTCGGGTTTCCCTTGCCAAGTATGTTGCACAGAAGCAGGAGTGGTCAGTGATCAGAGGGACTCATGGTAGCACCCTGAAGGTGTCCTGCCTCCCTGTGCCCCCAGCAAAACTGTAATTGCTAAATTACAGCCTCTTCCGTGTACTTCCTGGGAGCCTCCCCCCCACCGGCACCACTCACCTATGCTGAGTGACGCTCATTCAAGGCCACTCGCGTGCCTAACCCGCACCTACAGGACACTAACTAGGGACCACCCCTCCCCAACCAGGTTTAAGGGACGGTCCCTGGGGAGGACTGCAGCGCACGCAAAAGCCTGCCCGTAAGGCCTGGCACACGCTCCCTCCCAGCCACAGCCTGCTAGGAGCGGAGCCTCTGCGCCCCGGAGCAAAGCTCGGCCTGGGGAGCCGTAGGGGCGCGGATCCCACGAACCCGCACGTGATCTGCCCCCTCCCCTCGAGCGGGGCCACCGCCCGTACCTCCGTGCCCCGCCTGGGTCGCGGCCGCTCAGCTGGGAACTGACACGCGCGCCGGGGCGCCTCCCCCCGCGCGCCGCGCTCCCACCCGCCCTCTGGCGCGAGACGCGCGCTCCGGGGCGGAGACAAGCGCCCCCGCCCACCCGCCTGCCCAATCCGGGCAAGGGCTGCGCGGGCAAACCAACCCGGGGGGGCGGGGCGCGCGCCAACCCGCAGCAGACCCCGCAGGCTCCCAGCGCGGGGGGGGGGGGACCGGGGCACGTTTCCGCCCCTCTCCCGCGCAGCAATGGGACGCGCCGCCCGCGGGGCGAGAAGGAAAGCAAAGGAGCCACAGGCGCTTTGGGCGAGGAGGGCGCGGCCGCCGTGCTGAGTCAGGGCCGCAGAGGAGGGACGTGCCGGGGCAGGGCCGCGCCTGGGGGCACAGCGCGTGGGCTCCGCAGCGAGCTGCGTGTAAACGCTGCCCTTGCACACGCGCGCCGCGCCCGGATCCAGCCCCTCCTCTCCGCCCGTGTGCTCGCCATACGGGGTAGCTAGCGCTGGGGGCGTCTCCCGCTGGGGGTTTAGCGCTGAAGGGGGCGGGTTGTCTTGGAAGCTGCTCTTCCAGCACGAGGAGTCTTCGTGCAGCAGTTTCCTGTACCGAAGGGCAGTCTCTTGGTCGTGCTGTGCAGTCACATGCCAGCTTGTCTTTGGCTGGGGTCCCTTATACTGTGGGGCATCACCTTGTCCGAGCCCACGGTCCTCGTTTCCTGCGGCGCCCGGCTCTTTTGGAAGCCGAGGTGGGCAAGGTGGTTTTTATGGCTCTGGCTCTCAAGCTCTCCAGATTACTACAACCAATCGGGAGTCTGGTTTGTCTTCTTGCATACTCCCCCCTCCCCCCAGTTACCTCACACGTCAATTAAAACAACGCTCAAAAACTGCAAGTGGCCCCTTAGCACCTTAGAGACTAACAAAAATGTAATAGAAATGTAGCCGTGTTAGTCTGGTGTAGCTGAAGCAAAAAACAGGACTATGTAGCACTTTAAAGACTAACAAGATGGTTTATTAGATGATGAGCACACACACACAAGCACACTCCGTCTTGCTGTTGTTACCAATGAGTTGCTCCCCTTAACTTCACTGGCCAGGTGAGTTAGATGGGGGAGGGGTGAAGCCAGGCTTCTGCCGATCTGGATCGATGCTCCGATGGTGACAAAACGAAACCCGGGGTCCTCTGCAAGACACCTCACTTTTATAGCATCCCTCTTATATGCAAATATATCCCAGATTTAAACTCTGGGTCTGTGTCCGTTGGTCCCTTTGTGCTGCAGAGAGGGTGTTTTCCAAAGAAGGTGCCTGCTTCGAATCCCCAAGGCAGTCAATATGTCTGCTCTTCTTTCTTCAGCCCACTTGACATTATTAGAGGTGATAATTGGGGAAGCTATCTTACCCATTACCAGGATATCACCTCTAATACCATTAGCTCACAGACATCTAACTTTCCCCACCTCTAATATCATTAACTCACAGGCATTCACCTTCCTTCTCCCCTCCTGCATCCCTTTCCTGTTCTGAAATGTGATTTGTCCTTTTCATATGTGTTCATTTTTTTTAATTGTATCCTTTGGTATATATGGTTGTGACTATTTTCTTCCACTACTTGATCTGAGGAAGTGGGTCTGGACCACGAAAGCTCATCACCTAATAAACTGTCTTGTTAGTCTTTAAAGTGCTACATAGTCCTGTATTTTGCTTTAACAAAAATGTATGAGTTTTCCTGGGCAAAACCATCTTCTTCAGATGATAAATATGAAGCAAGAGGCACAGAGGGGCAAATGTAAAGCAGAAAAAGAGTAGGGGGGGGGAGACTAGCATGTTTACCCCTCTGAGACCTCTTTAGTGTTTGCCCCAAGTTAGGCATAGGCAGCAGTGGATGGATCGCTCAATGACTGCCTCTTCCTCTGAAGCATCTGGCACTGGCTACTGTCAGAAGATAGGATAGTGGGCTAGATGGATCTTTGGCCTGTCCCAGCATGGCCTTTGTTTCTTAAATAACTACTGGCTTACAAAATCAGTATAAAAATACAAAAATGTCACTGCACACTGTTACTGAAAAAATTTCTGATTTTTGCATTGTTACCACAGAATTATATAGTACATCAGTTGGAATATAAAACTTACATTTCAGTGTATAGTATACACGGCAGTATAAACAAGTCATTATATGACATTTTAGTTTGTACTGACTTTGTTAGTGCATTTTATGTTGTTGTTAAACTAGGCAAATACCTAGATGAATTGTACTCCCGGGAAGATCTCTGCCTATACACCTACCATTGGTAGAGAGCCACTGTTTTATGGGACCTGCTTTTTTTGGTGAGAGAGACCAACTTTTGAGTGGCACAGAAGTTGGTCCCATAAATAATAGAATCTCACCCACCTTGTTGCTGTAATATCCTGGTACCAATATGGTTACTAGACTGCACAGTTTCATGGTTGAGATTCACCCTTTGCCCTAACACCAATTTAGCTACTCATATAACTGCTCTGTCAATTCTAGAGTCTATTTTCACCTTGTTACCTCCCTCCCCACTGTCAGGGTTTCAGAATTATGTGCCACAGGAGACTGAAGGTAGTTCCTTATTCCCAGTTCCTTTCTGGTGGTGCCAGCTCCCTATTCATGATTCCAAGCTCCGTATTCATAGGCCAAAATTATATTTCAATGTAAGATTACATGTTTAGAAATAGCACCAAATTAACGTGATGGAATATGATAAAGATACATGAGTAATTAGTTAATGATTACTTATACAAGCAAATAAGCTGGTAGTTGACTTACTGTGCTGACAAACTTAAGCCTCCAGTTACCTGAAATGACACGTGCCTGTGACCAACAGTTTCTTCTGTAGGAGCTGGGACAGGCCGCACATGATTCAATCCATAGTTCCTGCTCTTTTTTCTGCTACATGTCGTGGTCTAGCCTGCCCCACTGCTATCTTGTAAATAGGGCTTGAATAAAGCTATGAGCTGACTAATTACATAGCTACAGGTTGGACCTCCCTAGTGCCCGGCACCATCAGGACCTGGCCAGTCCTGAATGAGAGAATTTTCTGGATATGGGGAAGTCTTCTGCCATTGGCCCCTAAGCCCATCACCTGCTGCTGGCATTCTGCCCTAGGAGGCACCCTGCCTCGCCCTCTCCCCCAAACTGGCTGGACTGCTTGCCCAGCTACTGCTGGCTCCCTGGGCAGCAGAAGCTCTGGCTTCTGCCATGGAGTTCTGGCCCCGTGCATCCAGGGACAGCCGCAGGGTTCCAGTCCCAGTTCCATGTTCCAGGAGGCTGCTGTAGGGCTCCAACCCCGGCCCTGTGCTCCAGGGGGCAACTGTGGGGCTTTGCCCCCATTCTCTCACTCCAGGGGACAGCTGGGTGCTTCAGCCCTGTCCTTGCACTCCAGAGGACTGCAGTGGGGCTCTGGCTCCAGCTCCATGCTTCTGGAGGCTGCCAGGGGACCCCAGCCTTCTGCCCTGTGCTGCCCCACACTGCTAGAGGCTGCCACAGTGATCCACCCATGGTCCCATGCTTCCCCCAGATGGATCTCCTGCCCTTAGGCTCCCAGGCTCTCTGGTCCAGTAGAATCTGTGGTTGTACTGGATGATGGATGTTGCTGGAGCAGATAGTGCTGGTTTTCAGAGGTACAACCTGTACTATGTATTTGAGAAAGTTTGTCTGTGTGCCTGTGCATGAATCTGTCTGTCTGTTTGTTCAACAACTCCTCCTAAATGATAAGAAGTGGGACCACCAAATTCAGTATGCAGCTTCCTCTTTCCATGCTTTAAGTGATAATAAGGGTTTGGTTGTGCCAGGAAAATGGGACATGTCCAGAATGGGATGGCTTCTCATATAACCATACAGAAAAGAGACAATCACCAGAATCTGGCTGTTCCCCCAGGGAAAGTGCACAATTTGCTGCACTCCTCACTCTGGGTGGGGAGCTGTAGCCAGACATGAACCCCATCTTGGTTTCCGGCCCCCCCCCCAGAGAGCAAGAGAAAGGCAGTCAGCCTTTGATGCCCTGGGAACGCAGGTGTGCTGCCTGTCCCTGACTCTACCATAAACAGAAACCAGACAGTAAATGGGCTAGCTGACGACCCGGGGCCTCCCGCTGTCCTGATGTCCTGTACCAGTAATTGACATGCCTACACTGTCCCAGGAGAGGAATCTTCGCCAATCACATACCAGAGGTGCCCATTGTCTGCATTTTCCCAGGTGTGAATTATGCTTTGCACCCTTCATGGGAAACTCGGTGTTCAAAGCCATTTTTCCTAATTGGCCACTTGAGACCAGGAAGAAGCCTACCAAGGGGTATAAAGAGGGGTTTAGTAGCTCACCCCATTTGAGCTCCAATCATCTACACCTGCTGGCAGGTATTGATTGTCTCCCGAGGTCTGTGGGACGCCCAACCTCGCCCTACTTCTTCCTGAGGGATTGAGAGAAAGACGCTGGCCACGCCAAGTCTGGAACACAGGGGTGAGAATATATACCTGCTAGGCCCTGCCTCCACCACGAGGAGGAGAGGAAGAGGAGCAGCATGCCCCCCTCCCCACAGGGAGCCCCAGCATCCTTGGAGGACCAGGAAGGGAGGCAGCCCGAGCTGCCCTGGAGCATGGGGAGGGTGAGTGCTGAGGGCAGCAACATTCCACCCCCACAATGCCTACAGCAGGTTTTCTGGGGACAGTGTGGGTGGGGCCAGGCTGGCGGTTTGGGATGGCAAAGCTTCCCCCACCTAAGCCCCATGTTAAGGATACAAGCAACACTGGGTAAATCTAGTGACAAAATAAGTCTCGGGTCACCCCAAGTGACATGTCTCTGTGAATGTCAGACTGTTCTGAAGGCGCTGGGGCATGCCATTCGCTGACCCAAACATTGTTCTTGAGCAATATGCTGCCATGTGTCATGCCCCCACCCCATTTCCATTATACGTGGAACTTGAGGAAGGATCTAGGGCTTGACAGGCTGTACATGACAAAATATACCTATTAGGCACCCCATGTGATACATCTTGGCAGCCATCAGACTGAAGGAGCCAGGGCATACTACCCATTGACATGAAGCTTTGTTCTTGCACAGTAAGATGTCACTTCTCCAGCCTACTTGCTTTTTTCTATATGGAGATTGAAAAAGGAACTGGGTTTTGACAGCTTGTACTTGCAAAATAAGTCTTGGGTCCCAGCACCTCAACTATTAAACTGATGGATTTGAGACGTGACACTCAGACTTGACACTTTTTCTATGAACAAACTGGGGCCCATGTCACTAGTGCTCTCCAATCCATCCCAAACACACACACACCTTTTAGAATGGAATCAGAATGGCAAACTGGGGCAGTTTCAGAAGGTGAAAATGCAGATTCTATGCTTGCAGCTACAGGGATTTGGTGAGTGCTGTGTTTGTTCTCCAGGAGGATTGTGTGGCTGGGCTATGGCACCCTGAATTGCCTGGGTAAGACAGATCTGTTTGTGTTTGGCAGCTGGATTTTGAACACAACCGGTGTTTGACATCTCTGAGAGTAGTTATTCCCTCCCTGTTTGCAAGGTAGGTAGCTGAACAGTAATGCTTGATATATATCAGTTGCCAGGTGAACAGGAATGACAAATCAGATACGTTTGAGTGGGAGTTTACTAGGGTATTGCAACACCAGTTTTAGGTATGTCTCTTCACCAGATAGCAGATATGGATGATGAGGGAACAACTGCTGTGTGACTTGCATTGGATGTGCTGTGTTTTCCTCTCTCATGGAAGATGCAATGAATTTCTGGCGTAC